GGTCGGCCCCCTCTGATGGTGCGCATGCGAACAGCGAAATAGGCGCTCTCAGTGAGGGCCTCGGGACATAATAGTAGACGTCAAAAGAGGCGGGCAGTTGGAGTCTTAGATCTTCGATTCGTGCCGTCTGAATAATGTTGAGACTTCCGGCGAGGTATACTGGTAGATGAATTCGTTGCTTATTTTGTGCGACTACCACCTGGGAGTGTTTTTCTCACGTTGTGCTGCGGAGTGATCGTGAAGGACAGGATGAGTTGTTTAATAATTGGTGTGCAACACGATTACTTGAGAGTAATGTAGTACAGGTAATGTAGCAAAGCTCATAGTATATACACTTTGTTTTGTATACATATGATTTTTGGCCTCTCTTTATATACTTAATTGCGCAGTGCTTTAGGCAATGTTTCCAATTAAAGTAAAGCTCAAAATCAACTTCGTTTTGTCTCGCACCCTCGATACATGAAGGGCTCGCAAATACTGGTCAAACCTAAAGTTTCAACCTAATCTCTGTCCAATAGAAGACATATCTTATATAAACAGGGCTATACACTTTACAAAATGACACTATGTGAAGAAATGTATTTACACAGCAAGTGCTATAGAATTAACGGTGTTTTTGCATGAAAAAACATCAAATGGGCGAACCTAAAAGCGGAATGGAATTTTTTTTCAGAGTTGTTTATCAATTCAAGCGAGTGATGTTATTGCTAGATACCACGTTTACATTTCGTTCTTACTGACCGACGTATTAAAAAAAAAAAAAACTTTGACATCTATGGACATAAAGATGTCCATTCCTGTCTTTTTTGTACCTAGAGGGCTACTATTTTATGACTTTCATAAAACTAGCCAAAGCTCGCATAAAAGCTATAGATGCAGAGTGGCAATGCGGGTAGTAAAGCCCAGACGGAGGTGCTTTATCGGCGTTTAGCCTTGTTACATTGTACTCAGATTTCCAGCACTCAATGGCAGGTCTCTCAGTAGACACTAACTGGGCCAACAAAACAAGTTTATTTCAGGCAACGTGTCATATCCGTTGTTCACTCAATACTTACGGGAAACACCGTTTCTCTATTGGCCACGGTCACCGGAAAATGGGAGGCATTATCGAATCAAAGTGAACCAGGGTAACCGGCTATCCTACTTCGGGCACTCCTCCCGTATATTGCGCAGCCGGCTTGGCCGAGAGACTGCAGGAGAAAAGTGATGGGTTTAGAGGAAACATAAATTCAGCGAAACGTGTCTGCGGGGCTACCGGTGTACAAATGCATAACCCCAAGGCAGAGCTACCGGCGGCACGTATACGAAAGAGGCGCGTCCTCCAGAAGAGCACGCGTGTTCCTTAGGGACCGGTTAAGACACAAGAGAGGCGTGTTCTGATACGCCCGAAGCTGGACCAGTTGTAGTTGTTTTTGTTTTGTTTGTATCTGGCTCGCAGTTTGTCTCCCCTCGTGGTATCTCTTAAACTGTGCACCGTTACTCAACTTGCTGCTGACGTGAGCCATTGAGAGCACACGTCTCGAATTCCCGAGGTCATCGGTCCGGTTGGCACAGAGACTTCCTTTGCACCAGAAATGTGCGTACGAGACAATTGGGACATCGCATCATTGACTAAAATAGTCTGCCAATGCGAACAAATGTGCTTTGTCAATTCGGTTTTCGTCATTAACACAATGTAAGATTATAAGAATAATAGACCACTAACAGGAAATATATCAGTGAAGCGCGCAAAGCAAACTTTCAGAAAGAGCTCTCATGATAGAAGGAAAAGCGACTTCGGCTTTGAAGTTGCAGGCCTCTTACTACACTCACTCACAGTCAACCGCGCCTAGGTGGTGGTGGTGGTAGTAAACACTTGTTATGCTGTTATAACACAGAGCTTTGAAAAACCAGCCCCCTAGCGGGTCAGCTCGCTTACAATATACTAAGCGGAATCCTTAGTCAGGACTCAATTGAGCGTGGCCGCTGTCCTGGTGCGCTGGACCAGCAGCAAACGTCTGAAGTCAATCGAGGTCGTCAGCTATTGTGCAAATTCGTGTAAAATATTTGTACAAAGCTTTGCGAACAGCTAAATAATGGGGATAGAGGTGGCTCCACTTCTCACCAAATAATCACTCAAGGTGTGGTACACGAAGTGAATCTGGTGTGTTTGCGAATAAAAGTTTGAAGTTCCGTTCTGAAGAATTGATTAAAGTCTTTTAATAAATGTCTACAACAGACTTCAGTCACTAAATTTGGCTGCCATAAGTGTGCAGAATTCGCGGAGGGGGAAGAGGGGTGCAATAGATGCCTCCGATAATATCATATAGTGAAATTTTGCGACTAATAAACAACATAAAATTTTTCAATGTTTAGCTGCCACCAGCGCTATATGGTTGAATCAGAATGGCCGATCGCGTCACAATATCCAAATCTCCGCCAATCAGCACTACTCGCTACAGGACAGGTGAGGTAAAGGCCATTACGCAATCAATGGCCCGCCATTTTTTGCGACCATCGCAACGTTCACAACGCTGCACAGCTTTGTGGCTGTCGAAGTGTGGCGTCATAAAACCAGGAACGCGGCACACCCGTACCCGACTTGGCGCTGTAGCTTGTACAGCGGTACCGGTGGCTTTAACGGCACAAGTGCGGCGCATGAATGGCATGATATATTGAGCCGCCATTCGAGGTCGGATGCTCGCGGGTTATGTATCACGCCTGGTGCATTCGGGTTTCTAGGTGAAATTTGCCGCACCATTAGTGATGACGCTCGCCGTTCATGCGTACACTAGATACCGTATTTTTCGCGTATCTTTCTTGTAGCAGTGGCTAAGCATACGGACATGGCGATTTTTTACATCTCAGTACGATTCAAGCAAAGGGGAAACATCTCTCATACTTTACAAGGCGCTAATGCAATAAATAGAATTTTGCAGGATACAAAAACAAGGCCAACTATAATCAGACATACGATTGCTGCAGAGTACACGCATGAAGGTTCACGTTCACATTGGCAGAGGTGCTAGAAAATATTCTCTCGCTTATTTCAAGCTTGGTCACACGTAATGCCGCTCTGTAACTGCTCGTGTTCTCATCGCGTGCTGCATTATTCAACGCGGGGTATTAAGTCCGCACTCAAGGAGTGCTAGTCCAGTGTTGCAACTGGCAATTTTCACCAAGGGCTCACATTCAGCCGACTGGTAGATTGTGTACGTAACAGCAGCTGTGGGCGTTTCGTTGCACTTCAAGAGGATCTTGCCTAGGGTCAGTTGATTATCATCTTCCTAAACAGCAATGAAATGAACACGACAAAAAAAAAGGGCGTAGTTTGCAGTGTGCAGCTTCATTCAGCACATCATGGGTCCTTCTTCGTGACTGGTGTATGCCTTACACACTTTATTGAGTTTAAAGTTTTCTGATAACAACAACAATCTCTCTGCGTAAGAAAATAGAACGAGAACGTGAGAACAGCAGTCCACCATTGAAGCACTTACTTGACCTCGCCCAACCGATACAACTCTTGAATACTGACGTATCACCAACTATGCAGGAAAAAGAAACTTAATGTGGCATATTACGTAAACCTACTATGCACGGAAATAAAATATTATTTACTGTTTTGCATCGAGGCGAGCTGAAACTAGATTTAAAGCATTTCAGTTATCTTGTTTTCTTTTTATTGGTGACCTGCCTATTGAATAGAGCTCTCTAATTGTTCTCGGCCCACGCTGGACCTTATATATTTGTCACCGTATTATAAGGGCTCGAATTCATACTTGACTTAAGCTTTGCAGATTACATTGCGGTATGCGAACGATAAATTGCTGTATGGTTTTCCTCAACCGCCGATAATGCATGAAAGCTTGGCTTTCTTCGCTGATTATAAACCCTGCAGATTTTTAACTAAATGACTGGTACAAAAACTTGTGTTAGTAAGCGTGCGTGTTCATTTATTTAGTGGTTATTTACGATGTATTTCAGTCGTTAGCTTTACTTCGAGTGTGTTATCTTGTTTGGGCAAGCTTAGCCGCTTTATTGAAGTTTATACATCCAAATTTTTATCCAACTTGCAAGTTTTTTATTCTAACAACCAAGCGAGAAGGGGTAGCCATCGCCAAGAAATGGCCACAACTCCATTTATTTTTACTCCAACAAAAAAAAAAACGTTTTTAAAAGTGTCTGTCTCTAAACCGAAAGTTCCAAGTGGTCATTTATCAGAAGAGCTCATTCATTTTATGCACTAAATATGTCCTCATATTTCTGTATTCTATGTGTTGCTCAATGCTTTGGTAGCCTCACTGTATGCCAAAAACCAGGCGTTGCTTACATAGCTAATAATCACCTATAGTAAAAAAAAAAGTTACCAGCGAAATACAGCGTAATCAAGGAGCTTCAGCCCAATAGTGGTGGTGTTTTTTTTTTTTCACACAGAATGCTTATAGAAGCTTGTCGCTTTGTCGTGTCACGAAGGGAGAATAGGCAGTGTTCTGCACTTCCTGTTTTCTTTTTTTTTTTGGAAGCGGTGTGGGGAGGTACGGCTCCAGTTGGATCTCGTTTCGTACTTAACTCTAACGTGAGTTGGGAGTAAACAATGGTTTTGTTTTTTCTCTTTTTTTTTGGGGGGGCAGTACGTTGACTGTGGTTGCGCTCAAAGCAATGTAGGCAATACAAAAATCTGGTAAAGTTACCTTGACTGAGAATCAAGTGTTCTCTAAAAGAAAACACGTTATTAAGATTCCTTGTCACTGAATCAGACGCTTTGACAAGTGGTATTGTCTTTTTCATGCAACACGTTGCTGCCTTAAAGAAGAGTAGCCCACTTATCTAGAAGTTGACACCAGCAACACTTCCTTATCGAAGACTCTCATCGCTTCAACATCCAACTTGCCTCAATATGTGCTTTGTTTAAATGAGTATGTCGACATTTTTTTCTCCTAATTTGTTCGTCATTTCATTAGTTAGGGCGCACAGTAAATTCGTACGCATTTGCTACAATTCTCCTCCCCTTCTGATTGCAGTGGGTGGTGGCTCGGCTGGAGCAGTTCTGGCGAACCGGTTATCTGAAGACATCACAGCGACCGTGTTACTAATAGAAGCTGGCGGCATAGAAAACGAAGTATCGGACATACCACTGATCGCGGCGACGATGCAGATGTCACCGCTGGACTGGTCCTACCGAACCGAACCTCAGAAAACGTCCTGCTTCGGCCTAGAAGGAAGGGTGCGTATGTATGAACGGTTGATTTCACCATCATACTTCATGGTAATTCTGTCGACCACCTGTGTGGAAACTGCTAGAACCTACACGTGGATAAATACAGGGCATTATTGCCTAGCACAATAATATATACCTGTTTCATGCAACAGATACTCTCTAATGAACCATTCAGTAGGTGTCAACATTATGCTCATACATTGTTGCAAGTTACCCGAAACCACTGTTTTGCACTTCGCAGGCTAAGCATATTATCATAGTCCTTAGTGCCTTAGTGCAGCATACGTATAAGAGGGAGATGCAATGAGGATGAAGAAAGGCAGGGAGGTTAGCTAGTACTGAGTCCGGTAGGTTACCCTGCACTGATGATGGGGGAGAGAAGGGGAGGACAGTTAGAACGGAAGAGAGAAGTTGTTGTTGCCTTTGACGTAACATCAGTTCTGCGCTTGACATCGTACACGGTGTAAACCAATATGCCCAAGAGCTATGTTGCAATTAAAAACAAACAGAAGGCAAACGTATTTCTACAGCGCGTGTTTTCATTGAACCTATACCTTTTTAGGTCATACGTCGTGAAGCGTTCCTAGTGCAAGAAGAAAAATAGTATTAAAATAAACAAAAGCTTTGTCCTTCATAAAGTGCTCAGTCGCTGTGCACTGTGATAGAATGAATGTTTTGCGATTATGACTAGTACGCCACAGTGTCAGGCACAAAAATTAAGGCAGTCTCAAAGGTAGAAAACAATACTTGTAGATTTACCACTATGTGCAAGCACTGAAATATGTCAGACATACTCTAAATATTCTGGTAAAATTAGACATTCAGGCTTGAAGACGCTCAGGCTAGCACACCTTCATCTTCATGCCTGCTTTGTTCTTCAATACCGTGCTCATGCGTGATTCATGAGAAGCAGTGGCGACATCAGATTGTTTTTTCTCCACATTACACTCAATCACAATGCCGGCCCTGTGGAGAACAGCGGTAGCTTCTTCTGTATTACAGGCAGCCATCGTGTTAACAAAGGGCTGTGGAGAAGATGACGGCAACCTCGCATGATGGGCCGATGAGTGCGACGACGGGAATTATGGGAAAAAGCGTACAATGGCAAGCGGCAGTTTCTAGTCAATCATCGTGGAGCAGTCTTCATCACATGCCACCCATGCACTATCCCGAAAGCTTGTAGAAAATCAGCTTTGGTTGACGTTAAAGAACCCTAGGTGGTCGAAATTTACGAGTCCTTCACCATGGCGTCTCTCATAATCATATATTGGTTATGGGACGCTAAACCCCACATATAATTTTTTGGAAGACTTAACAGCACGTTTGTGGAATTACGTGGACTCACTCACGTCACAGGCGTCACCACGTTTATTCTGGAAAACGGGCGTTCTAAGATGGTGGCGCGTTCTAAAAAATAGAAATAAAAAGATACCATCTGCCCATATTGAGCTGTAATTGTATTTTACCAGCAGTTTTGTGCAACTCTTTATGTATCAATAAATAATGAGTATTTATTTATGCAAGATAAATGAGAAAATTGTAAATAAACTTAAGTACTATACGTGTGGTAGGAGGCATGTGGTTCGACTCTGTAGCCCCCACAGCACTGCCAAAAAACACTACAATAATACGGAAAGACGGGCTAGTTGGTACTGCTGCATAATTGAAGTTTTTGCGCACACACACAAGGACACAGAAGAAGGGAACACAAGGACCAGCGCAGTTTTTTTTTTTACTGCGCTGGTCCTTGTGTTCCCTTCTTCTGTGTCCTTGTGTGTGTGCGCAAAAACTTCAAAAACACTGTTGCCAAGTATGCTATAGCAACGGGGTTGGATGTGGTGGCCGTGCTTGCTGATCGCGACTGCGAGCCGATTAATGACCGAAAGCGGGACAAGAGACAATCCCGCAAGCAGGATGGGCACAACAGCGCGACCCCAGCCACTAAACCGGGACATGTTCCGCCTAAATCGGGACGTCTGGTCGGTTTACGTTCACTACAACAGACATGAATTGCGTTGTTTTTGTGCAGAGGAGTCCTTGGCCGAGAGGTAAAGCGCTTGGTGGCTCGAGTGTCATCAACTACATGATCTACATCAGGGGCAATCCGCACGACTACGATCAGTGGGCGGCAAATGGATGCGAGGGCTGGTCGTGGAACGACGTGTTCCCTTACTTCCTGAAATCGGAGGACAACCGTGATCCCGCAATTCTGCAAAATGGTGGGTATCTACTCGACATGAACACGTTCTTGTGTAGCGAATACATCCGAAAAACTGGTTGTGCGGCCACGAAGGTTATCATATCGTTGGTGCATGAGCGCGTCTCGCATGTGCCATTCCTGGAGACTATTTTGAGAGTTTTGTCAGAGTCAAAGTCATGCTATGTTAACCCGCGTTTGTTCACAAAAGAACGCTACTTAGCGTTGAAGTTTAATCGATCCCTTCAATACCATCCTGTAAAGGAGGATATTGCGTCGGAGTGTGCCTAGGGTGGGATGTCTACCGAAGGTAAGCAGAAAATTATGACAGGATATAACTGATATAACTATAGCACCACCACACAGAAGTTACTGGCACAAATATCAAGATATAATCATGCACAAAATTGTAGGAGCGATATCAATATAGCGCTTAAACAATCAAATGCGTATGCAAATACTTTGTGTACATACATAACAATTACCTTCGTTATAACTGACTACAAGACCATTATTAGGGGCTGTATGTATACACACAGGTTCATATCAGTGGCCAGTTGATTTTTCATCCTCTTTACTTCCTTTCCAATTCTTTACTCTGCAGGTAAAGCATACAGGTACCGTCTTTTATACATTCCCTAAACTTCATTGGCGGTTGCTTTAAAAAAATGAGCCCAAGATTCGTTATATTCGGTATTTTCTTGCAAACGAACGCTTTTATTTTTTCCAAGTAGAGCATCTTCCACAAAGAGTGTATGGCGCCCCAGTTCGTCCAACGTACAAAAATTTCCTAGATGGGGCTTCGAAATTGTACTGTTTTATAGTGCATTCTACCAGGAGATTCGGTGTGGCCGCTGAAATCCTGGAGCGAGCACTGAGAGCACAACTATGTGTTCAAACGCATGGTATGTGTTGTCACTAGAAACTTTCAACGAGATTTTTTTTATTGTTTCTTTTTATCAGGTTACCACAATCACGGTGGTCCCCTGACTGTATCCACTCCTCAATACGCGACACAACTGGGTCATGCCTTCATTGAGGCCGGTCTTCAGCTGGGCTACCCAAATGTGGATCTCAACGGACCGCAGCAAACAGGTCGGGTACATCACTTGCACACCACCGCTTTCCGTTCACATACTTACTGTGGTGCTCCTAAAAATCTCGAGACATCATTGACATTGACATGTTTTGGGACGTTAAACCCCACAAATCAATCAATCAATCAATCATCATTGACATGATATTCGCACGTCTGCTTTCGTGCACTCTGGGGATTCTCTTGGGTTAAAGTGGCACTAGAACTTTTTTTTCGAGGATGAGTTTACTCTTCGATACTAATCTCCTGTATGCAAATACTGCTGGGAGTGAATGTGAAGCTAGGCAAATGCTATTAAAGTATTTCATTATTTTACTAATGTCTGTTTTTCTATGCCACACCTACCGACATCGATACTAGCTTGATGTCAGTCTACATGACTTATACCGGTGACTTTACGCAGCAGTTTAGCTAGTTGTGATGACGTCAGGTACTGAAACTTCAAAGATCGCTGCTTCTGTGTTACGAAAACTTTTAAATAGCCACATGTGTGTCACCAATCGAGTGATATTGAAAAGCCGTCGTGGAAGCGGCACTATAGGTTGCGGGAGCACGTGAGGAGACGCTCGTACCATGTTTTTACGCCAGGATACAGTGAGAACCAAAATTATCCCTTAAACACATTCTGCATATACTTTATCAGTGTGCCCTTGCCTTTTAGCTACATTTTCTAAGCTTTTGATGCCTCGGCCTTTTATTTGGCGCAAAAAAAAACAGCTGAAAGTTTTGTGTCACCTCCCCTTTAACTTTGTGTTTCCCGCGGTACCAAAGCGGATTCCTAAAGGCCACGTAGCCACGTATAAAGGGGTGTGTGGTTGACATCTGCTCCGCCAGGTGCCGCAACTGTCCCAGCTGCCCATTAGAAAAATGTCTGCTCTTTCAATCAAATCGTTTGACTAAATATCATTAATTTTAGCAGGATTTATTCCACCTTCGTTTTTAATAAACTTTTACTTCAATATTAGGCTTCCAACATAACTTAACCTGAACAATAACTGTCGACTTTGTACAGTTTTATTCTTAAAGCAAAATTTCATAGTATATAGAAAAGCATAATTAGGCTCGTCAAGACGGCTTGTTGAGCTAATTGGTATTGCATCATGAAAGACTGCAGCACGCATAGAAGAGAACGAACGAAGAACACGGGGAACAACATATCCGTGAACTACAACTGATCAGTCGTAGTTTACTGCTATGTACAGCGTGTTTTTTTTTCTTTGTTTGTCCCCATGCACAATGTGCGCTGTAGTCTTTCATGACAGAGTTAAGTGCTTGAACGGAAGGGCTTAGTCGAGAAACGAGAGTGCAACTTGTTGACCGTACCACTTAAGATAACAAAGCCAATCACTAGGAACACATATCACTCATTCATACGCGAAATTCAAAGTTTATCGGTTCATGTTGCGCTTCTTGATGTGTGTCGACCTGGCTGCGTCACTGTTGAAGCGACGCTCTGATTTCCGTGAAACGTCAACACTAACAATATCGCGTGACGCTTCCAGGTTTCGCCATACCGCAAGGCACCATAAGGCGAAGCGCCAGGTGCAGCACCGGCAAGGCGTTTATCAAACCTATTCGTCACAGAAAAAACCTCCACATCACGCTGTATTCTTTAGCCACCAAGGTACGTACATTCTGGCGAAACAATAACGTCACTTGTACTCTATTCTTATTGATATGCTCAATAGAAGTCAAGGCAGTCTTCGATAAGACCGGCATCAGCACACTACCGTAATACGAAACATTTTGTTGCATGAGACAAACTGAAATTCGACTAATCTTGCTTCAGCAAGTGAGCAGAAGGAACAGCACTAATTTGCGAACTGGACCACAGTTGATAGGTGTGTTAATATTACATTTCTTTTTGTAGTCATTGCTAGATATTGCACAATAATAGCCTCGAGTCAGATGTAGTATAAATAATAAATGTGATAAAAAAGCAATGCTTATGCAAGGGAAGCTACTGACTTGCAAAAGCGAAAGCCCGATGTACCGTAATTGGAGGCAAGTACAAAAATGGTGTGTGCCCTCAAAAAGAGAGAGAAAGCGCAGCGCTGGAGATAGAGATAAGCATACTGACCACGTTCGAGATTACAAAATCAGATGAGCACATTCATGCACTACAGAACTTTTGTACAAGCAGTCCGATGGCATTTTTAGCATGAAGTGGAGCGCTTGTCAAATCGTGCAACACGAATCATACCCATGTTCATGGACAGTACAGCCTAACTGAAGTAACTGGTACTGAGGTCACTGATAGTTGATCTTGCGAAATCGAGGTAACAGGAAAAAGTTTAAAGAAAGGATGTTCCGATGAAATATAGACGCGGACAAGAGTTTTTTTATCAACTCCTAAACCAAGAAGCCGTGCATTCGTAGCTTTGAAAACACACATTGCGCAGGTGATATAACAAAAGATGAGGACCAGTCTCAGAGTTCCACGCAGTAGTAGCACTCTGTACACTACCTGGGTCGTATCAAGCTGATATTGATGCGGTTACCTTCGAACATGGTAAGCTGAACAGTAGGTCTGTAAAAGCAATGGAGCTCACTCATACCCACTCAAGAAGTGTGTTTTGCTTACTACTCACCAAGACTCGGACTCACTAGGACTTATACTCACGAAAGTTCGTTTCAGGCTGATTCACTTGCACTCAGATTCTCTAGAATATTTCTCAACCGTACTCAGCCTTACTCAATTTCACCAAAATATCACTCAGCCGCACTCAATACAAGACACACTACGCGGCCTGAGTCCGGGTGGGTGTTAGTGAGTCTCTTCAAGGTGTGGGTTCAGCTACAGTTGGCACTCCATGATCAACTACTTGTTGGGCACAAGTTTTGTTAGACAACGGATGAAACAGTGTCTGTTTCGCCTGTTGTCTAACAAATTTTTTTGCGCAAGAAGTAGTTGATTTTAGCGAATCAACTTATGAGTCAATCTGTTGACCTATGTCTGTAACACAGCGGCTGCTGCTGCGTAACTCACACATTTTGGTGTAAAACAGCAGCTTACAAAGACTCTCCTGATTGAGATCGAAACTCGCAGATCCACTTCGATGAGTGGAACAACGCCCGGGCAGTCCAGTTTGAGCGGTTCAAGGTTCCACACATGGTGTTTGCGCGACGAGAGATTATTCTGTCGGCCGGAACAATTGGCAGCACGCAGCTTCTGCTCCTGTCCGGCATCGGACCCAAACACGACCTGCAAAAGATGGGCGTAAGTGGACACTATGTAACGCCTTACTATGTAACGCCTTTTTTTTTCGCATTGGGAAGGCAGCCAGTGGTGCTTCTTGTTGCAGTATCCTTTCAGAATTGGTTTCAAACTCTGATCGTGGCCTCTTTAAGTACGGAGTGATTGAGGGAGTCGGATTGTTGCATGCTGTAGTATGCTATTGGCGTCGTTTGGTGTGACGCTCCGTGTGTAGCAAATTGAGTGCATGCTCGCGCTAAAAATAGGTTTTCTTCCTCTTGTTCTCCAAGCACATTGATGATGATCACTTGACATCATCAGTCAAAAAAGCAACTAGTGCGGCCTTGGGCTCAGTAAAACGACACCTTGCGTGTTGAACTGCCATTGCGGGTGAGAACCCGAGATAGAAGATAATAAGCTGGAATAAGACAAAATGTACTTAAGAATTGTGTTACCCTTCTAATACTTTTGTAAAGAAAGGTTTATGAGTCTATAATCTGAGAAACTTTTGTGTAAAAAAAAAAACATCTGCTTTATTAATACTGGTGGCGGTACGAGACCATCCACTTAGGTAAATCTCTTACAACAGCTATAGATAGATCTGTTCACTTGACTCATTTCAACGTGTACTTTTAGCTACTTCGCGAATAGATCACTCTCTTTTCCTCTCTCTCTGCAGCTTTGTTAGCTACTTTAGCAGGATCACCTAGGAAGCAATCAATACACACGTTGACGCGACCAACTCCTGAAGCACAAATAGGAACTCACTGGAAGCTCCGTACGTTACTGCACCACTCGATATTTAGCCATTCTTGCTGTCAGCCTGCTAGGATAGCCAAAATACCCACCGTGTCTGCTTAGTGGGTGTTATATATCACACAGATTAGCTAGAGGACGTGAGTTAGAATGAATTGAGTTGCGCGTTAAGGAACTCGAAGGGGCAAAAATAAAATCCGGAGTTCAGTAGCATAACGACTTTCATCATATCATGTCCCATGTTCCAAGTTTCATACGTAGGATCTCAGAAATTAATTGCTGGGTCTACAAAAACCATCAGCTCATGAAGTTGAACTTGTGGTAGGGTGATACACTAGAGTAACACTGATGCGGTCAACTTGGGGCTAAGTAAGAGTTTTTTTACAGACACCTTCAACGTGCTGTGTGTGTGTTTTTTTTTTTTGCTCGCTTGCATACTTCTGGTACTACCGAACTTTGAATTGTTTATTATTCTTTCCCTTAGATTCCTGTCCTTGCTGACCTTCCAGTTGGTTACAACTTGCAAGACCACATCTACCCTGGCGGCATGAACTTCCTCGTGCGTGATCAGGTGTCAATGGTTCAGACTCGTGTGTTCAACCTGAAGCAGATTCTCCGCTATCTAACCATAGGCAAAGGTGAGGTGCCGTAAATGTATGAAGAACCAAGTAAGCTCCAACTCCTAGAATTTAGATTCTCTCTGTGGCGCTGAAAATACGTTTAATCAGGGACACCCTGACAAAAGCTCTGATTGACTTCTCCGGGCAAGCCGGATGTTCTGGTGAAGGCCAAAGCTGCAGGACATGTTTAGCGATATGGGCACGTAGGTGTATCGTAAAAAAGGCAGTTTCTTAGCTCTGGTAAAGACGAGGAAAACAAGGTAGAGACACTCTTTTACTTCGATTCCCATCCTTAGTCACATTCCTATTGGTTACTGAACTTTCAGTTGGTTATTCCTAGATTCGGTTACATTTAAACCAAATTTTTGAATAAACTATAGATGAGTGGCTTGTTGGTCTCTTTGGTCGTGAATTATAGAAAAATTTAGTGAAAAAAAAACGAACATAGCACTATGAGTGCTATGTTCGTGAGATTCTTTTTGTCCCTGTTTTATGCGATGATTTTTACTATGAATAAGCTTTATTGTTGTGAGTAGTACCGAATGTGTTCAATGTCTTTTTCTTGTCTTCCTCGGGTTTAACAGCGCTAAGAAACTTCCTTTTTGAGAACATGGAAATTTCTTGAATAGGCAGTGGCGTTGGAGATGGTGTTTTTGAAAAGCGGTCGTGTTTTATTTTAGGCAGATAGAGACCTTACACCTTGGCTTTCTTTAATGATACCGCCTTCAAAATTGGTGCGTTTAAATAAACGGCGCTGCTCAAGGAATGGTTTAGTGAAATAGAAAATAACCAAAGGAGTTCTTGTCACCGTTACTTGGCGATGGCTACCCCGTTCTACTGGGTTATTCAAAATAAAGGATTAAAAAGAGAAAATAGCATATATACATATATACACTCCTACATAGGAGAATACAAAACTTTTCATAGGGGCCAAAAAATTCTAGGATTCCCTATGCCTACGAGATTAATAAAACTGGTGTATCTTTGGCACTAAGTCTCCTACCCCACGGTTTCCGTGAAACTTGTAGCCAATTAAAAATATGATAAAACGAACTGGAAACAGTTTTCTTATGATCATCACGTAACTGCCTTTCTAGATATATTTACGGACGAGGTATACGCACGCAGATCCTTGAAGTTCAAGTGGCGCCTTTGGAGGCAAACACAACTTTACGCAGCAGCTGCGACAGTTGAGTCCCGAAATGTCAAAGCAATGTCAGAAACTGTCAACTTTTTTTTCGGTTTGACGCCATCATTAGTGCACCAATTGTAGAGCTCCTCCGTTTAGACGATCATACCATGAACAATTGCCCTGGTTGATGCCGTCCGAGATACCTTCTTGACGATCTTTCATCTCTGAAGTTGTGTCATCCTGGCAGCTCACGTTTCCTAAAAAGTGAACATCTGGTGTCTCTCTGCACGTTGCGTCCTTCTCTGATCTCGTTTACTTTTTCAGGTCCTCTGACACTGCTGGGCGGAGTTGAGGGTCTGGCGTTTATCAACACGAAGTACGCCAACAAGAGCATTGACTGGCCGGACATCGAGATCCACTATCTCTCGGGATCGCCCGTATCCGACGGAGGACAAACGTTCAGACGTACTGAAGGAATCGCGGATGAGGTACGGATATATACAGCGTACAAGGTTACCAGTAACGAAGAATGCTTCTGACACTGCTTTCCAACACATGTAAAACGCTTCGTCACTCTCAGTTCTGGTTAGACGTCGTGAGCACTGGGGTAATTTATGATGTTGACGAAGCCATTACAAACCCGAACCTACCCGTCCCGATCTAGCCCGCTTCAGAAGATACCATTATTGCAAGTATATGTCGTATCTAAACATCACTAATCGTGAGGACTGTATTTAAGGGCGAATCACTCCCATAACTCGTAAACGTTGGCCACTTTCAACACGCAGTTTGTCCTTTTTTATACTGAAAACACTTCAGTACTGGTAGTGCTTGAGCTAGGTGACGAGATTATTGTGTGCGCGAACTCTATTATCTGTTCCCGATGCTCGGGCACCACAACAGGGACACGGGCCCGGCCATGTTACCGAAGGGCCCAAATTGCAACGAGCCACATGATTCCTCTATGAAAACTGTTCTGCTGTTCGAAGGAAGACAGCAATACTGAATGAAAGGGCTATGGATGACATCTTACACCGAGAAGCAGCGGCATCCACTACGCGACAAAAGTCTTATCGCCGGCACTGCACCAAAGCCTCCAGAAACTTGTAGCCTCATGAAGCACATCAAAAACCACCTCCTTTATTTCCACTCGGGCCAAGCGGGGTCGGTTCTAAAAACAAAGATGCTTCTGCTAGCAATGGAGCTGGGGCTTTGTTCCTACTACCCAGTCACAACGCAGCCGTGTCTACGGGAAGTGACGCCTCTATGAAGAATGCAGTTGACGCTTGGCCCAAACTCTGAAAAATTCATGCCCTTGATGAGCAGCACCAGACTTCTGCAGGGTGGGACACTTCATCGGTCACTTCATTAGCTGACAAACAAAGACTGACAAGTGCTCGCCATGGTCAGCACCCTAGTGCGTGCGCTGCTGAGAAAGATGTGGACACCAACAGCTCAGAGTGTGACGCAACTGCTTGACACCGTCACTCCTCTCGCAAGCCTTCACGAGTCCGTCGCTTGAAAACACAAGCTGTACCACTATGGCTTCACCATCGACAATATGCTGGTTGCATGATACCGCGCATACAAATTGCGTAGTGCAACAAATGCGCGATCTTATTATGCCACGGCAGTGACCCGTCGTCTGTGATGTGAAGCACACAAGTGCCGTTAGGTCGACGGAACCAATGATTTTCTCTCCCCCTCTCTCTGAATCCCCCCCCTATACCCTGCCCCAGTGCAAGGTACCACGCTGAATACCAGGCTCAGTCATGCTTAACTACCCTGCCTTTCTTTCATCCATATTCTCTTTTAAACTTTATTTTTTACTCCTTAGCGTAGCTTTGGAGCCGTCCGTTTGCCCGTTTTATATGTTCTAAACTACCGGAAAAGGTATTGTGTGCCAATAAGCTTCATGTGTATAAATCAGTGTACAGGTGACATTATTGATGCTCTCTGACAGATTACAGTGTCTCTAGATGACCTGGCTGTGTGTGAAACTAATATTGAAATTCTGCCACAACAAGAATTTTGTATTGCCTGGGCAACTAGGGTCAAAGCTGTAGCTCTGTGTTCCACCCTAACACTTCCTGATATCGAAGCCAGTATAACATCTTAAAATATCACTAGTATTTAGGCGTTTGTTATAATAAAAGTAACCCTCTCTTACAATTTCTTTTACAGTTGTGGGAGAAAGTTTATGCGCCCTACGTTTATGCGGACACCATGTCTGTATATCCGGTGCTGCTGAGGCCTAAATCTCGAGGATACATCAAGCTTCGGTCCCGGAATCCTTATGATCCACCCTTGATTGACCCGAAATACCTGAGCCATCCGGATGACATCATGACTCTTGTTGATGGTGAGAAATCGTTTATTGACACAAACAGTTCTTAGTAGGTGTTCCCGAAGACCGCATTCACATAGAACACTTGAACATCCGTGTGAGGAGGAGGGGGTAGTCTCTGAAAGTATAGAAATAACTGAAGTTGATTGAGTATGTCTGTTAATGATCCTAAAGATTGCGCAGGTATGTTTGACCGTTGTTACGCCTGGGATTCCACACCGAACGTCAATGCCTCTGCAAAGACAATCTGTGTCAAGGCCAGCAATCAAGCCCGCCTGACACGATCGACTCAACGACGTCATCGAGCAGCAGCGCCGGTCTGTCACGCAACGCACAGCGAGCTCCCTCAGCCCACGAGACCGTTGAAGCAATCGGCGCCTTCCAGTCTGTGGAGTCGTACGCAATGCGTGGGAACGTCACTCGTCCTTTGCTCCAACCACGCGCAGCGGCTCCGGATTTGATGAGCATGACGCGGCCCAGCGGTGAGCCCCATTGGAGGATTCTGACATCACGGCCAGCGGCGCTTCTGGTTGAACGTTGGTGACTCAAAGGGTCCACCCGGTGCCTATAAAAACAGCCGTGCGGTGCGTCGCCAGCAGTAGACCTGTGTGTCAGAGAAGCCTCTCGTTGCGTCGAGCCCCTTTCACAGTCGGCGCGCCCGGTGTCCTTGGCAGCGGCGAGTTTCGTGGCGCCCTTCGTAACCTCGTCGGCGGTGCGCTTCCTAACAGAGAGAGAAGCCGACGGATGCGTGCGAGAGAAGACATCTCTGCTGTTCGAGTCCCTAAGCTGTCGGCCCCAGTGCCGAATTTATAACGCCTCTATTTCTATGTTGTACATTAAACTTGCCTTAACCCACCGTCGTCTCGTCCTCCCGTCTATCAGCTCTGCGCAGAAGCAGTCGCGAGCTAAGTAACACACGCTACCAAATGGCTGGTGACCTTGGCGGTAAAGTTCAGAGCAGTGGTGCCTTCGGGACCATGTTGGCGTTTGGGCTTCGTAACACCGTGGGACAAAGTACATTTCGCGAAAACGAGGGTGTAGGTTGCGCCACAGTCAAGCGTATCTAAGCAATCGAGACACCAATTTGCCAAAAGAGTTATTTTCACTTTGAGTACTTACGACAAACCTTCCGAATGAATGTGTGTACACACTCAACCAAACAGTCTTGGGCTTCCTTAATTTAGTGCACCTGGGCTTATAGGGAATCTACAGCTGCCTTGTAATATATTTTTTTCTTCATTTCAGCCATGAAGTTTTCAATGGCAGTGGCCGAAACGCCTGCTTTCCAGAGATATGGCGTCCGCATGTGGGACTTGCCATTCCCAGGATGCGAACACTACAAGCACCTCAGTGACGAAAACCTGGCGTGCATGGCTAGATCTTTTACCAACACAATTTACCACCCTGTGGGCACGGCAAAGATGGGACCCGTTTGGGACCCAACCACAGTCGTCGACCCCAGGCTTAGGTGAGAGCACCTTGGGGCTTTATAATGAATGAATGCGTTCTCGGGGTATACGTGTGAAAACAGAAAGAAATCATAATGCATATCTTAGAGCGGACTCCACATCCTTTTCGCTGTTACATGGGATATTTTATCATAAAGAGAAGTTTGGCTGTGGAAGTGATAGACATGTAGCGGGTGCATATTTGCCTCCTGGACACAGCGGCCACATTTAGGTGAGGGCGAAACGCAGGAGGCATCCGTGTGCTGAGCCATAGATGCATAGTAAAGAATTCCAAGAGATCGCAAGACTCTAGAGTTTTCTACTACGCTGTACCTTAGCGTCCTATTGGTGTTATGGCACGTATAATCGCAGCTGTCACTTATTACAGCCAGAAACTCTTAGTCTAGATTTGCCGTCGTAGTGGTAGTACTATAGTCGTAGTGTTAGGCGTCCCGTTGGTCAAGGTATGAGAGGGGCAGTTAATAAGAAATAAAGACAACAAAGTGATATTAAGAACTTATTGTACCGAAACTTATCATCATCGTTGCTGTTTCGCTGTCAGACGATTTTCATTCACAGCGTCAGACTGGCTGAAATTTTTATGAATCAGTCACTACGATATCACATTGCTACACTTGATAGTCTTGGCACTTTGTGAATGCCTGGTTTCTAAAAGAAATTCTCTTCTTTTTTCATCTCGCAGGGTCAAAGGAGTCCAGCGATTGCGAGTTATAGACGCTTCAATCATGCCCACGATCGTGTCCGGCAACACCAACGCCCCGTCCATCATGATCGGCGAGAGAGGTGCGGACATTGTGAAAGCCGCGTGGGTGCACCACAGCAATTTCCACCAGCAGCTGCACGAGGCCGCCAAGCGCAAGAGGTGACCGGGGTCAGCCAACGACCGCGCGATGCAACCGCTGCGTGCGTGGTATGCACTCTTGCCAAAGACAGTTGCCGAGGCATTGCTCACTACGCCAGCGCCAGAGGCGCGTGCCGTGTACAGTGCGCAAAGACTAACAGACGGACTCCGAGCCCAGCGCCGGCTACAATAGACCTGCGAACGGTCCTCGTTGACAACACAGGACACGCATGCATCGTCCTCGTCGAAAGCATCTAAGCCACTTTCTAAACGCCGTTATCATTCAGGGATTTTCTGCAGATGAAGGAAGTGAGCGCATCAACGCCCTGTTTCAGTCTGTAGCAGTGTGCTATAATTGTCCTCGTATTCCAAAAGGCTACATCACTCAGGTTCACCTTAACTTGAGAGTGTCAATGACAGCACTGCACTTTGTCAGGAGGGGTCACATTGTATGGATAATGTTGAAAAAGAATTCTTGAGCAGCACGCCTTACTTCTCAGTCGATTGGTGGTGGTGGTGTTCTCAACTCGGTCGAGAGATGTTTGCCGTGAAGTTGTAGTTGTTATGGTGCTCTGCTGCTCTCCAGTAAACTGTGGGCTCGATGTCGTCCACGGCAGTCGCATTTCTATGGAAGCGAAATCCTAGAAGCCCGTGCATTGGATGACGTCAGTGCGCGGTCACCAGATTATCGAAATTTCCGGAGCCTTCCACTACGCCTTCCTTTATAATCATATCGTTTATATACGTAATACGCAGATATTTTAGCTTCGTTGAGGAACGTAAGATCTTCACATCAGTTTGAGGCTACTTAGTGGTGTAGTAAAAAAAATTGTGAGTCGGTTCACTCCTGTGATATGTCGAAATATTTTGTGAGACCAGAGTGACAATTCTTCCACACACTTGAGACATTTCGTCCAAGTCTAGGCTCACGGAGGCTTCAGGATACTGCAGCTATGTCCTATCATCGCAGCTTGAAGTGGCTTGCGCACTTTCGGTGAAGGCTGTAATGCGTTTCTATGTGTCGTTTCTCTGTGTATGCTAAGGCACATCTTGGTGCACTCAGGTCTGCTAGGAGACATGTCAAGGAGGCCACTGATGAAAAGCACGGGAAGGTAGTAAACGAACAGTCAGTGCTGTGTTAAGGCGGTAGTCTAATCTGCAGGTTTTCTCCCATGAAAGCCTGTCTGAAAGCACCATGAGGCTGGTAGGCTTCAAGCATCAACTGCAAGCATCGACGCTTCAAGCGGGAAGCAACGCTAATGAAGATTGTATGGTGCTGACAGCAGAGAGCCAGAATCGATGACGTGAAGTTGTTTCGAAGATTCGAGTTTGTTCAACGTGCCTGGAATCTGAAGATTTCGCTTTGTGTCCTATTTTGGTGCGCGGAATTTCTGATTGAGTATGCGATGGCGGCGCACCGGACAATTCGCTGTCATCGTGAATGCTGAAGTCAAGATTTGTGCTTAGAGGGGTGAGGTGATAAACTATGATAGAAGAGCTGGGCTCCAGGTTTAACGTCTTTTGAGTGTGAATGTACTGGTTGATGAAAGTGCTACTTTTTTTAATATGCTTTACAATGTTAACTAAATAATAAAAAGGCAGTTGTCTGATTTCGCAAACGTTTACAAGGAACCACATGGTGGCATAACAAACGCAGCAAGTAGATGAAGCGTCTTCTCCTCGTGCCACTATATTTTTGAATGTAATATCTGCTGCTTGTTCAGCTGTGCTGACCTTCTGTGTCAAAATTTAGCCAAATGATTTTGTTTACACCCTTTGACCAACTATACATTTTGTGGGTCACGTGACATATGTGACGCATTGCAGCCACAACACAAATTCTAAGAAGCCGATGTGGAGTCCCATTCGGACAACCAACCCTATTCAATGTTTTGTGAGCTGTGGCAAAGAATGAGCAGTTACTTCTAAATCCGTTCGTCTTTAGGCTTGTCACTTCATTAGAAGAGACCTACACTCTGGCAATCCTGGGGAATCGTTGATAGTGGTGCTATCTTGGATCAGCACTTCCCTAAGAGAAGATTTATGAATTTTGAAGTTATAATTACAGAATATATTTATGACTCATTTCTTGAATAAATACGATACATTATTTAAATGATGTGTATTACACCATCTTAAGCGTCCGGAACGCACTTCCTCTTATGGAAAAGGGAGGGTATGAGGTGTAGAGCACTTTACTCTCCCGCAACTGACGCATTGAATCACGTGGATTACGCAAAGCATAACTCTTAACGCCCACTATAACCAATTCACCACATGATATTGACATGATAAAGTAAAAAAGTAGTTTTTCCAATTTAGGTAATACAACTAGCCTTATGTTGCTTTGTTCCCTCTTACCAAACCTAATTTCTGCAGTATGATGATGTGTCATTGCTAACGGTTTATAAGTCATAGATCTCTAGCAAATCGTGCTTATATAAGAGGTTGTGGCCCATCTATTTCTGGTTAGAATGCTCTTCAGCAGACGAGAGCAGTATTTCGGGCTTGTTGTTAATTCATTACTTCGTTGCATTGCGGAACAGAGCAGAAGAAGACTGTGCACAAGCGCTGGTTGTGTCTTTTTTTCTGCTGTCGGTGCCTTTTCGTTCCGCAATCGTACTGTCATTGTACATTTGTTTTGTTGGTTTTTTTCTAGTGTTGCAAGTTTCAACTATTGTACCACCTAACTAAAGAATGACGGTGTGAAAAAAGTCGTAGTGCGGAATATAAAGTGTTGCAGTTAGCCTCACGGTTCTTCTTAACACTTGGTCTCTCAAGCATCACGACAACTCTAGAAAAAATACTAGGCCACCTACATGAAGCTTGGTTGCATCGTAAGAAAAAAAAACTGAAATTTTTGCATTTTTTACAAATAATTACTAGAATATAAGCGCTGAAGAACATCCAAGTGTGTCATTTATATTATTAACAATGTTTCGCTGATTTTCGCCAACTTGTACAAATGTCGCCAACGTTTTTCTCGTTATTTTATGTGTACAAATGACTTTTAGTAACCTTTGTTGGTCTTGTGCATCCTTACTTCAATTGTTCAATTCGTGAAATAAAAGTTTGCGCTCATAAATGTGTAATCATGACCTGAACCGTGATCGTCTCTGAAAGCTTGCGTAAATATTGCCGCCGGTGTGCTTAGCAAATGAGCATTTCAGCCTATTGATTTATTGCTATTTATAAATCTTTGACGTTCGCTGGCCATGAAAACAAGTTTACTGCAAAGCGCCATTGTCTTAAACAAGCAAAATTTATTCAACGCAGGCACTGTGCACTTACCAGGTGTCACCACGCAACCCTATAGACCGAGATCGGCCGATAGGGGGGCACACAAAAAGACAGACGAGCAAACATGCTTCAATATTCATCTTTCATCGCATGGCCACCTTTCACATTTAAAAAAAATGCGGGAACTTTTCTCTCGTGTTAAGGAAATCGATGTGACAGCAAATGCTTAAATCAGTGTTGTATTTTGCACATTACACTTCCTGACCTTTTTTGGTGCCGTTTCGTATCGTACAGGGGGAGGGAGGTAAGATACACAGCATGATGCCTGTGCAAACTTCGGGAGAGTTGATTTGCCCCTAAGCATTCCTGAGTCATGTGAGCTGAAAATAACTATTACACAGCATGGTTCTGTCGGTTGTTATATGAACACTGATACGTTACCGGTGTCAGTATAATTGGTTCACAGCAGTGGCAGTCTTGTGTCAATGATTCTTTCTGGCGTTAAATGAACACCGATGCTTTCCCGGTGTCAGCGTCGCTAAGAGGGCCATTCACATATGCCGTGCTAGTTTGCTGTACTCACTATTTTTGCAGTGTCGTTTATGCCAGAACCAGGGTCTCCATCTCATTTGTTGCACCACTAATGACGTCACAGGTGTTGTTTCTCTTCGTCACGTAATGGCTAATTGTTGCGGTGCACCCGAGGCTCTCTCATATAATTAACTGATAGGGCTCACGTGCTAAGCTCCTTTTTCCTCATGATTGCCATTTAAACATGTCATCACTGAAAGCGGCAATGATTCGTTACGCACATACGTTGCGATTTTGCTACATCTGTATGTTTCAGTGTGGCTGGCTTCGACAATATGGAGGTTCTACATTTTGTTCCAGCTATACAGAACTGTAAGTCACAGCGGCATTACCTGTTAAGGTTATGTACGTCGGTGCCCTGTGCATTTTTCTCGACCATCGTGCATCCAGTAAATTCACCAACGAAAGAGTACCGTGAAGTATCGGCGTTTCTTGATCGCTTTCCACTGCAGTTTGGTTTTTCGCACTTGCGCACTTGCCTTACTGTTCCGGCGACAGTGGCAACGGTCACAAACATAGAGAATGAAGTGTTTCTTCTGGTAATATTCTTGGCGATTGCAATCGCGCAGATCAGTGCGGTCTCATCAAGTGTGAGGCCCAAGGGATGGCTTTGTGCTCTTCTATAGTAGAGTACCAAGTGCTCTAAATCAATAAATACTTTTTTCTAAACACATTCACTTGCACTTCTGAATGAACGTTCATAATTAGTTTAAGACTGCAGGAAGCATTCCTTCAAAGTGTGCCTTGACGAAGCGCTGTTTCCGTTTACTCTCGCGTTGTTGTCATCCACGTCTTCTGGACCCTGTGCAAGTTGCCCGTGGAGTTCAACATGCCCCTCCTCTCACTGACACAAAGAAGCACTTGTTACGTCAAGGTGGCTTTCGTTTACTGAACAAGTGTTCTTAAAACATGCTAAACTATCATTCTCATGCGGATCACTTTCACACGCGGTGATTTGCTTTTTCTGGTTTGTTGTTCTCTCATCTTTTTTTTTAGTTCTGGCGCAATTCTTGTTGCGCATACTTACGAAGATTATCTGCTTGAAGAATACTCCTTGCTGATTATTTTTTAATAAAAAGTTCTGCAAGCAAGGTTCACATGTCTCATTAATGTCGTGGCCTTCGTCCATGTTTTTGTTATGACAAGATAGAAGCTTTTGTTCGAAGCATTCAACAGTGAGATTTCTTGCTCTCTAACATGGGATATTGCACTCTAGCTGCCCTGTGAAAATAAACTAATCGATATATTTTTAGCAGAAACAAAAGGTTCTCAAAAGTTTTGGAGAGTTTTCTTTTGATATTTACTTCCTACAGTTGCCATACCTTCCAGTATGCTGGTATACATTTTTTCATGTGCACCTATGAGCAGTGAGAAGACTTCTTTTAACGCCTTTCCGGTGCTGTGAGAACGTTGCGCCGTTTGCAAAGCTGCAGAGCAACGGAGCATCACAGTTCGCGTATCTTCTGGAGCACACTTTTTTTAGTCACTGGAGAGCAAAACTTGAAGATAACAATAGTATTCCGAAAATACTTTGCTTCACACATATAGCAACTATTCTATTAATCACAGTCAAATCATTACGTCAAGGACAAATATATTTCTTAGATGTTTTTTTTTTAAAAATGCACTGATTAGAGAAGTAGTTGATCCATCCTTATCATCAACAGTCTAAGCTCCACTGCAATACGAATGCCCTTCTAGTCATCTCCAACCCACCCTCTCCACCTAATCCTTCCACCTAATTCTTTGCTGATCTCCAAGTGTCCCTATCAGTGATCATCCTGCATACGCGCTGCATGCCGGGCCTGTGTCCATTTCTTCTTCTTGATTTCAACTATGATGCTTAACCACGGTTTGTTCCCTGACCCACTCTGCTCTCTTCTTGTCTCTTCAGGTTACACCTATCAATTTCCTTCCCATCACTCGCTGCGTCCTCTTCAATTTAAGCTGAACCCTCTTTCTGTTTCTCCTCGGTAGGTATGTACCGGCAAGATGCAGCTGTTATATACCTTCCTCTTGAGAGATAGTGGCGATCTACCGTCAGTCATGATTTGAGAATGTTTGCCAAATGTGTTCCCCCTATTCTTATTTCACTTACTTTAATCTTGTCGTTCGTCTTCGCGATTACAACCTGCCCTACGGACAGGTAGTCCTTTACAACGTCAACTGTACTGCTACCTATCTCTAAGCGCTGTTCTCTTCGGAGGGTCTTGTACATATCTTTTGTTTTTTGCAAAATAATTCTAAGACCTATCTTTCTGCTCTCCATCTCTGATTCCCTAATCATCAGCTGAAATTCGTCCCCTGGGTTACTTTAAAATGCAGTGTCATCGGCAAAGCGCCAGTTACTAAGGTACTCTCCGTTATCTCTTATCTGTAAGTCTTCTCATTCTAGGCCTCTGAAAACATGTATGCACGCGGTGAATAGCATTGTGGAAATTGTATCCACTTGTCTTACATCCTTCTTTATTGGTATTGTGTCGTTTTTTTTTATGATACACTATGATGGCAGTTGATCTTCTGTAGATGTTTCCAGGGTGTTTATATGTGTTTTATCAACGCCCTGATTCCGCAGTAACTCCATGACCACGCTTATCTCTACTGAATAGAATGCCTTCTCGTAATCTATGAAGGTTACGTATAGCGGTTGGGCGCATTCTCAGCATTTTCTACCAACTGGTTTATAGTATAAATGTCGTCAAATGTTCTGTAGCCTGTTCAAAGTCCTGCTATAGTTCTTTTGGTTGAAATAATACCATTGTTGTCTTAATTCTTCTCGCAACTACCTTTATAAATAGCCTGTATACGACGTAGAGCAAGCTGATCAGCCTGTAATTCTTCAAGTTATGGTCGTCCCCTTTCTTGTGGATTAACATTATGTTAGCATTCTTCCAAGATTGTAGTTCTGTCCCCTTCAGGAGACACTTCGTAAACAGGGTGGGTAGCTTTTCTAACACAGCCCATCTTCCCTCTTTCAGCTGATCCGATGCTGCCTGATCTTCACCACCAGCTTTTCATCTTTGCATTCTTACCAAAGCTTTGCTGCTTTCCTGACTTCTTCTGTCGTTACTTAAATGATGTCATTTGGGTTGCTGCTAGTTCTTACATTATGGTCGTGGTTTTCTTTGCTGTCGTACAGATCTGTGTAAAAGCTTTCCGCTATCACAATTATTCGATTCATATTAATGGTTACTTTACCTTCCTTGTCTCTTACTGCATACATCTGATTATTGCATATCCCAAGATTCCTCTGCACCACTTTTACGCTTCTTTCATTCTTTAGAGCGTGTTCAATTCTCTTAATTTTATACCTTCTCACATGGGAGACCTTAGGCTTATTATTAAACTTTGAATGCTCTACCAGTTCCATTTTGCCTGTGCTGTTTCATGCTTCCATGCTTTGACGTTTCTTAATACAGTTTTTTTGGTTTCCTGGGATAACTAGGTAGTGTTCTGTCTAACTACGGTACCATTGAATTCTATTGAACACTCTATAATGATACTCGTCAGATTGATATTCATTTTGTCAATACCAAGGCCGGTATTCTTAATAAGAGCCAAGTATCCGTTTTGAAGTGAAACTCTCAATTCCTGTACTTTCGGGCAAGTAGCGCGAGGGTGGGGTAACCGCTGGTCATTTAGAGTCACTGACTGGATTCCCAGAGCAGGCAAGTGGGTGAGGGGGAGACATAAAGTTAAGTTGGCAGATGAAATTAAGAAGTACGTGGGTATAAACTGGCAGCAGCAAGCACAGGACTCAGTTGACCAGCGAAACATCGGAGAGGTCTTTGTCCTGCAATAGACGTAGCCAGGCTGATGATGGTGGTGATGATGATGATAGCCATAATGATTACGGGGATGATGAACTGTTCCTTCCAACGCTTGAGTTCGCTTTCGACTATTTGTACCTCCGAGGAATAAATATGTGCAACCAGCTACTACCATTGATTCCCATACTACAACCTTTCATTTACGCTAACGTACGTAACTGCTGGAGGCCATGAGGGACAGTAGTATGGTTTCAGGTGAGAAAGAATAAGTCATACAAAACAAACCTAATTAAGAAGCTTCACTAGCTAATATAGTTCGGAATGTAATAGCTATAAAATATTCTGTGGCCTCATCTGCTAGTGCTACGTTTGTTGGCTTAGCGAGAGCACTCTGAATCATTAGATGCGAATTATAGTGAGGCGAGAAGAAGCTATCATAACACAATTATCCTTTCATTTGAATTCATCCCAAAAACCATCCATA